ATACGTTGATAATTTTAATTAATTAATTTATTAAATTAAAATTTATATTTTTAATATAAATTAATTGTAAATATATACATTAATTACATTCTTAACTACTAGAGTGTTCTAAGGATTGTCGACAACCTAAATGATTAAGTGGTTATTTATTTTCGTTGAAAATTAAAAATCTTAAATTTGAATCGCATAACATGCGAGTGAGGTGAGATGAGAAATATGAGGTGAGATGAGAAATATGAGGTGATTGCCTTCTATTGTGCAATTAAGATTAAAAAAAAAATGTCCCAAGACTAATAATTTTGTCCATAATTAATTTTTAACCGAAATGATTAAGGGTTTGTACCAAGTAGGCACATAGTCTCACATTATAATGCATTTCTCCCTTTTTTGGGTCAGCGACTCAGCGTATAATTCGTTCCCCCACTTAACACACATAAAACAAAAGTAAAATTTCAATTTCTTTTCAAAATTATTTAATCACCATAAGCTTTTTCTCTAATGTATTAGCCTAGTATATATGATAGGAAAAAAAAAAAGAAAAAAGAAAAGTATATTGTAATCTTTTTGTTCAGTTTCAATTGTTTTATTTTTATTTTTTAATTTTTTAAACATTAAATTCAAATGTAAAATTTAACAAAACATATGAGTAATTATTAAAAGTTTATTTTTATATATATATAATTTTTATTGAATAATTTTATTTGATAAAAAAATTTAAATATCTTTTATATACTATATTAAATTTTTATATGAATCTAACATTCAAAGAGTGAAAAAATCAACGAAAAAGAAAACCATTTTTGAAAGGAGATATAGTACGGATCGACTTTATATTGCATTTATGCTATTCATTGTGAAAGAAGAAGTTGAGTACATTATTAATTTACTAACCTACCACATTTAAGTAACCTCATTTAATTTTTACTCTGCACTGGTACTACAAGCTTAATATAGATAAAGAGGGTGATGGGGTGGTGATCCATACAATTAATTGCAATGCCAAAATTGACGAAGTATTAAGTATTAAGAGAAGTGAAGTATTTGTGCTACAAACACTAGTAATTTCATACCATCATGCACAGGGCAAAGAGCCAAGGATTGTCGTTTTCTTTTATGGTGGTCATGTGAACTAAGTTAATCATTTTTCGCATCTTTTAACTAAGTTTAACGGTATAACAATTTAGAAATCAAACTTTACTTTTAAGGGTATATAATTATTATATATTTTTTGCATTAATTGATATTAGAGAATAAAAAACTAATCTTTTTATTTAATTAACTGTTTAATTAAAATAATTAATATACTATTGTTAATAAAATTGAAATCAAACTTGACTTTTAAAAATAGGTTTTTCTATTTTGTGTCGGCTTAAGGATATATAATTATTATATTTTTTTGCATTAATTGATATTAGAAAATAAAAAATGAATTTTTATTTAATTAACTATTTAATTAAAATAACTCATATATTATTGTTAATAAAATTAATATCAATTTTAATATTTTTTAATACTAATTTATTTTAAAAAGTGTGATAATTCCATTGTTAATATACATATTAAAAAAACTCTTTAAAAGAAAGATGAATAACCCATTAAATCTTTAATGCCTTTGGATTCACAATCACAAGATTTGTTAAATAAAAGTACAAAATTTTAAATGAAAGATTATTTTCAATATTATAATAACTATAAATAATTAGAGGTTAACTTACTCCTATATTTTTAGATTCCTATCACCCAAAGTTAAAAATAAAGTAAAGTAATGATGTG